AATAATGCCAAAATGGGGCATTTTCAATGCCTCACTGCTCCTTAATGAGCATGGGCACCCCCCTTTTTTATTTCAAAATTGAAGTTATCATATGAAAAACATTCAGTGGACAAAGTTTGAACAAAAATCTATTGTCACTTTTATTTCAGAGGAATTACCTTAATTTAACACTTTCAGAATGTCTCAGGCTCACAAAGAAAATCGCTTATCTCGTCTTCTTGCAAAGTCTCGCAGCCATCATTCACCACCCCTGACTCTGTTAACCTCAGTTGTGGTATCTTGACATATAAATTTTCAATACACCATGACCTGTACTCTCAGTAATTTATCAACCGAAGAATATTTAAATTGTAACTAACCCACATCAACCCTGATCTTCAATTAGAATACACATGCGTGCATGTACATTGTAGCTCTGCATGGCTTTTGTGTGGATACTAATGACAATGTAGTCAGACTCCCTGATTTGTTGTCAAACTCTCAATCAGAGGAACACATGCAGTTAATTTTCTATAGTGCTACAAGTATGTCACAGGACTAGTAACTGCATGCATAACTGAAGATACAAATTTTTGGCCTCAAATGTCTGTCATTTCAATCTCTTCCGAGGGACAAATTAAAATGATAAGTGTAATCAGGGATGTTTGTTTACTAATCTTTCAAGGATATATGAGAATAAAGTTAACATCACTCTCTACCTGCTGTGCTGCAGGTGGCAAAGGTACAGCACCCTCAGCATAAACAGGGGCCTCAAATCTGTTAGGTCCCTGAACAGTGTAGTCCTTTAACAAAGTCCCAAAGCTGGGTACATTTTGTAACTTTGCATGCGTCACTTGACTAAGTGGCTCCCGAGGACACGGCAGAGGCCCTACATGATCTGCTTCATTAGCATTGCCACCATCAGTTTCTACCGCAGCCTGTGTTTCAAATGCCGAGGACCAGCCACTGGCCATGCCAAGTTTGTTGCTACCCATCAGAGGGGTTGGACTGATGGTATCACGTTCATTGCCTTGAGAGGAGGGTTGTACTGCTGGTGAGGATTGTTTGTGGCCTACAAATACATTCAATACGTAAAATACTGAATCATGTTTTCTTTGAATCAAAATAATAAATTGCCTAAACAAGGTGCAGTAACTGTAACAAAAAACTCCAAAATCAATACATGTGCATGTGTTGTACAGACCCCACCATCATCCTCAAAATGTACATGTAGGTACAAATTCAGGATTTTCTGTAGAATACTCAAAATTTTATTCTCATTGTATAGTACCTGTAATAATATGTAAATAATCATGGAGATAAGTTTCTTCATAAAACAAAAACTCAGATACAGTTTATAACTTAACACAGATTTACAGTAAAATAAATGTTTTAAGCCAAGAAAAGATTAGTACAATAATAATTATAACCTACTGTACACCCATGCCATAAAATCAAAATAAAGCCCATATTTCGAAATTTTCTAAGGAAGCAGAAAAACTATGTCAGTAGCAGCCGCTATTTACCTTGTGCATTTACATCCTCTTCTGCTGAGGGTGAACTATCTCTGCTAACTGATTCCTCTTTTGTTCTGTTAGCCACAGTTTGCTGTTCTAGTGCTCTTCGTTTCAATTCTGTGCTGTCCTCAATACTGCATCCAGCAAGTTCAGCCACTTCTGCTTCACCGCAAGCTAAGGAACCAGAGGTTTGATGAAGCATGGGCCTAACACCTGCTGCTGGGGGGCTTGCTGATGAGGAGGCTGGGATGACAACTGGAACTGTTGAAGATCCATGGCTAGGCATACCTGGGAAGGAACCATAATTAGGCAGCTTTTTAGAACACACAAGTCATGTGAAGTGACAGTCACATTACATCTTGAAAAACATGTTTATTATCAACAAGCTTTTGTAATCAATGTAGAGCAAAGATCTTTAGTCCGAGTCAGTGGTTAAAATCACGACTTGTATATATGTCTTTGTAGCATAATGCAAATAAATGGAAGGCTTTAACTGCTGTTTACCCTCTGGCCCTCCCCAACACCTAGCAAGATGCCAGTAGTCTATGGATTAGAGGTGACTCTACGGTAATTTTGAGCAGTTACTGACAGAAACAATTCACCGTTACCCATATATTTGAGCAGAAAACAGAGACGCAGTGTGAGATTAAACTGTCTTTCCCACAAGTAAACCATGAAAACAGTAAACACTGACTGGCCTCCATGCGTGCAGAGTCAACCAAGTATATTAACCATGGGGCTGCCACACACCACCCCTTTGCCCCTCTCACCTCCCAGTTAACCTCAGTACAGTAAATAAAGTTAAAAATTACCTGAATAGACTGGTGAAAGTGAACGAGGGGCCACTTTTGGTAACTGCCAAATACCACAGAGAGCCAATGTATCACCAGACCAACTGTTCAGACCAGGCGTGTTGTAGTTAAAATCAAATTTGAATTCACCAAGGCCTGTCAATAACACAATGTTCATTCAGTTCTCTTATGACTTCATGATCTGGCATTTCTTTGTCAACAAATTGGCTTTTGTTTAGTTGAGTAAGTTTAACATAGTCTTTTCTTATGAGTAGATACAAACTGAAATTTTCGGCAATAAATACAATTGTTGTCACTCAGTTGTACATAGCATTATGTCCTTTGAAAGATAAGCTTTCCTGCAAAGGGAACTTGTTGTACTTTACAGTTGTAGCACCGACACTTTGCTTCTTAAAATTTATCAACAGCAGCAAATTTGTAATCCCAGGTTGATTTTTACCTCCTCAGAGGTGCTTAAAACCCACAAGTCCAGCCAACCATACTTCCCTGCAAGAAATTTATTTGTAATCCAGAGACTTATGAAACCATTTTTTACAGACTCAAAATAAATTATTATAAATTAAATATTAAATTTGATCAAAGCCAGGCAAGGGACAAAAGGCACATGAAATAAATTAAATTAATACTTATTTTCTGAAGATATTACTCCATCTCTTCTTACCTTGCAGGAAAGTTTTCATTATTGATGGTAGCTCTGCATCCAGCATAAATGATGAACCTTTATACGACTCCCTGCAAAGTCAAAGTATTATTAAATTACACTGTGCATGTTAGCAAAATCTAAGCCAAAATGTTGCCTGCATGAAAGGAGGGAGAAAACATGGTAAATTGAATTTATTTATTTTTAAACTTCAATGCAAGCTTACAATGTACTTGTACATGTGTAACTAATATCACTGAGTTGTTTATGATAGAACACGGCTCTTAACAATGCTAAGAGAGCCAAACTTACAACAGCTTATTCTTGTCCATCAAAAGTGCATCAAGGTAACTTTCCATTAAACCATCATTCAAAGCAAGACGAACCCATGCCTGAAGATAATAAATAGCAATCAACAGGTACTAGCATTAACTAACTACACTGTAGATGTCTCTCACACTTATGATGTACTCACTCAGACCGCACATAGATACAATGAGATGATTGGTGAACTGGCCTTGATAGGGAAAAGGAGTAAGGTGCCAGCTACACATATTATTTTATACACAAACATAGTAAGACTCACCCGACATCTTCCTACATTGGTGTGGATTTGTGAAAGGTGCTCCAACTCATTCAAAATGTCCTTATGAGTGAATTTTGATATCAGGGACCAAAATGACTACAATTAACAAAAAACAATGTTACTAGTTATATCCTGCCTCCAACCTTCTTAAATTGTGGGTCTAAGAAAAATGGTATAGTATTATAATTGCTTCAGAGATGCAGTACTATTAATAGTTTGTCACTTGGAATGAAACTTACATGAGTAGGCATTGCTTCTGTTGATATCTTCCCAAGTAGATTGTAAAAGTTTGACAGCTGCCAGCCAATAAAAAGAAAGAGGATAAAAATAATTCCATAATTGGAATGCAACCAACCTTAAGTGG